GTCAGGTTGAGCGAAGAGGCAGGCCAAATGCAGGGCTTTACGAGATCACATACCGTTTATTTCAAGGTAAACGTAGACATACAGGACTCTCCCCCGTTGAACGCGTCAAACACAACACAGGATTCTAACAATGACAGACAGAAAAACAGAACTTAAATGCACACCAAGAGGCTACACGCACCAAGACTATCACACAAGAACAGACCAGGTGAGGAGGGAGGGAAAACACAAGCGAACACAATCACGTAATCAGGCAGGAGGAACACAGGGTGTCCGTTTCTCAATCGCAAGCAGTACTAGTGCATCGAGTGCGCCGAAGACCAGGCCAAGCGTACTCGCGATTAAGAAACGCCCAGGCCATTTCTCAATCGCGAGGATGCTTGCTTGGTAGCACATGTCTTCCGAGTCACTTGCTTCAGAAGCTAGGAAAGAATCCTTCCTGGCATTCGGAAAACAAAGAGTGGAACAGGCTAGCAAGTGTGCAGGTGTGTGTCATATGAGAGGCCCCGCCTTACATTTTCCGCCACAGATTTGGGGAAATTGGTCCGTGTGCAAAGCATTGTGGGGATTTTAAGGACGCGAAGTCTACCCATGTGCAGCCTCGAAATTACCCCCAAACCAAGGACGCGGCCTCGGTGGAATTCCAAGTATGCTGGAGATTGGAACAGTCCTTCGGCGGCACTCGATGACGTAGCATCCTTGAAATATTGGCTTGGAAGTCAGTTTCCTCAAGATTGAGAAACGGCCCCAGAGACAGAAAGCAACAGGCAAGACGGGGGGTGAACACTTTTCAAAATAAAACAGGAAACCAAAGACAGATCAAGACAAGACAAAACACAACACAGACAGATGGTGACAAAATAATGAACTCCCTGTTCATTCTGATTGTTAGAAACACACGATTGAGATAAACCAACTTGTGCTTTCCCCAAAATCTTGGAAAGACAAGCACACTTGTTCTTTTTGGTCAAACTAGGGGCTATATTTGGTTAAGTGTTGAAAAGTTGTCAGGCCTTCTCTCCTCTACGGTCAGGAGCATCTGTAACAGCTCTGTCTAATAAAGCAGCTCTGTCAACCTCTAGGGTCTCCTGCCTGAAGGCTCCCTTGCCAAATGACAGTGTAAGACTTTGAAAAGAAAGAAAAGAGAACTCTCAGGCTACGCAGCTCCTCTTTCTGCTATCATCTCTATCAGATCCCTGTTTTCCGCCCAATTAGCGAATCTCACAGATTGCCTTTTATCTAGCGCTTTGTGAAGGTATGATCCGAGTCAGATAACCCACCAGGATTTAAACTGACTCCTGTCGAAACATTTGAAAAGCACTAATACACGCTGCAGCAGAGGCAGACTTTGTTTATTCTCTCCAGAGGTTATTGATTCAATGGATGCAGAATGATGCCCATTCATGTGTCTGTCTTTTGTTATCTCTCTGTCTCAGGTGCAAGTGTAACCTGCATGCCAACAGCTGTGTGTTTGACAAGGGGAAGCTGGGCTGTGAGTGTGAACACAACACCACAGGGCCAGACTGCAGCCGCTGTAAGAGGCATTACCACGGAAGAGCCTGGAGTGTGGGCTCCTACCTCCCCATACCCAAAGGAACCGCAAATATATGTAAGTATATGAGTATGTGTAATGTAATGGTAGATATCTGTCTAATTTACTAGTAAGGCTATTAGCCGCGTTCAAACTGCAGTACTTTTCCCACTTTAGTTCCGATATAGTTCCGAAACGTCACGTTCACACCAACCAAAATGAGTTAATCAGAACCTTTTTTACCCCCTTTTCCGTCCCTGCTAGAGAGCAGGTACTTTCGTGGGAGAAAAAGGTTCCTATTTCTGATTGGCTGGGCGGATCGCAAACCACGCCCCGTAAAACTCCCAAAAAGTTTTATGAAGCCGCCATTTCTTTTATCCTTCGCATTAGCATTAGCCCAGCGCACAACGCAGAGAGAGTGGCGAACAGCAGCGATTGAACAACTCTATGCAATTGGATGGATTTCCAGTATCTCCTAGGGGATTTTGCTTCGACCATCCTTGTGGTCACTCCAACCACAAACAGAAACACCAGACTGGGAGCGGTGGAGATGAGAGGTGTGCGGCGTTCTGGCGATTTACTCTGAAGTAAACAGGACCCGGGGCTTCGGGCGGCGAGTATACATCGTGAAGTTGTTTGCGGCTTGCGCGAGGTAAGACCGCAAAGCAGAAGAGAAGAGTGACGTCAGAGGCTTCCATTCTGACCTAATCTTCCTCGAGGAACTTATTCGGTGGTGAACGCGATCCGGTACTTAGGTTCATCGAGAACTTAAAGAGTTTGTCATGAACCTTTGTGGGAAAAGCTACCGCGGTGTGAATGCGCGCCATATGACAGAAACTAAGTAAATGTTTGGCTTGTGTCCATTTGCATGGATGTTTGCACCGAAGAAAAGTCTATTCTGACAACGTGTACAAATGTTACCTTTAAGCTAATAGCAGACACCTGCAACTGATCTGTCTGGCTAGGAGTTTGTCTGTGGTTTCAGGCTAAGACCTAAAAAAGAACTATGTATTTTGTTCCTATTTTTTCTGGGCTGTCGCGAGCTCTGTAAGGAATTATTTTAGTTCAATTCTTTATCGCAGTAAGACTAGTAGTACAGCTGGAAGCCGCCTGAAAAGGCTTGCAAGCAGACAATGAGCATTTTTTGTTAACAGGTATTTGGGTCTAGATCCTCTCACGTTGAACCACTCTTGATGTGGACACATAAGAGTCACTTCGCGGCCCCTTAGGCCCTTGTTGGGTATGTGTGATGTTGGTCGGGGAATAAATAAATGTGTTTTTTTGCTGTCGTTCCAGATACAACCATCCTTCCAATTAACTTACCACCATTAAGATGTATTATTCCTGCCTCCGAAACCCGAGAAAAGTGTGAAGATAATGCCGGGTATTTCTTACCCGTTCACACGGGATGTTCTCTGAGGCAGAAGGTGCTCTTTTGCATCTATCAGCCTATAATCTTGGATGGGAGTGAGTCGCATTATCAAATCCACGCCTTGAGGCAGGGGGCTCATTGCCTCATAAATCTCATACAGCCACTCATGGTGTGGTGGTGGCGGCAGGCGGAGGCCAGATGGTGGAGATCTAGCCCTCTGGTCCTCCATTCACCACTGATTCAGACTCACATGTCAGCAATCTCGCAAGGCAATCTGCGGGATTGACAGCAGGTTCTTTCAGATGCTCATTCTTGATTTGTCTGACCTTGAATTATCTACACTGGCTGATCTGATTATATTATCTACCAGACATGTTGATTATGCTATTGATCCCACCTGATTAGTGCGAGTACATTTGTGCAGTCCGTAACAGGTACTCGTCTTGCTCTTCTTTTGCGGCTTTTGTTGATGCAATTGGAACAACTACAGGTCAGTTGTTGCAGTCCTTTTATGCTGTCTGTGGTTGTGTGTGCATGCATGTATGCGCACAAGAAACTGTGTGGAGTGTGTGTGCACATGCACAGACCCTTGTTATTGCGACGTGGGGTTCTGTTTTTGGAACGTCTGTGAGCTCAGCGAGGATATTTGCGGATTTACCCTGCACCTCTCGGGTTGTTTATGGCCTCCCTGCCATGTGGTGCTCACCTGTCAGATGACAGGGCCGCTTATTAAAAACAGTCCAACACCCTGGCCGCATCTGCACGCAACCGATGAAACAACAGGTCTAGCCATCTCAAAAGCAATATCTAGCATTTTTTGGCAGTGGCATAAAATGCAATAATGTTGCACTGGAAGTGACGTAACAATTATTGGTGCCCCAGGTGTTCATGAACAAACTTTGGTCTTGAATTATTCTTATTCTTCTCATAAGTTTAACGCCTTAGGCCATCGTAACTGCCTTTTTATCCATTATGTGAAGCTCCATGTTCACCTTTAAGGATATTAAAGCTACCGACCCGTATCAAGACAAAATATCCAGAACGTGCAAATGTAATTATAGTTTAATAGCTTTCACTTCGTCATCAATTTTCGCTCTTTAATCCGATGGAGTCGCATTGATTTTCACAGATTAGGAACCCAGCTCCTGTGGAGGGCTATCTCCAAATCCTGCAGATGCAGATATGGACATCACGTGACCTCCTTCATCTTAATAAATTAGATCCCAAAATGGAGCCCTGCGTTGCTATGGCCAATAGCTGCTCAGCGCACTTGAGTGGACTGAGGAGTTGATTCAAATCCTTTCGGCCTGTTCAAAAGGAGGGAAAGAAATCCTGCAGAGCAGAAGCAGGAAGACTTTGAGAATTATGTTGACAGTCACTTTTCAGGGAGCGTCAACCTCATCTTTGATTCCAAGTAAGGTTCACAAGGTTAAGAGGGGTTGCGGTCTGAGAGTTTGATCGAGCTTTTTAGAATGTGGCTTTGGCTTTAAAATGGCACATATTGTTTGCCCTCCATTTCTCACCGCACCGGAACACTTTGTGTGTAGGAATTTAAGCTTGCTTTTTTCTTGCAAATTGGAGGCATAAAATCTGCTTGCCGTTGTTGTGACCAGCCCGTAAACTGCTAATGACAATGATAAATGGCTGGTGCAACAATATGAAGAATCCCACTGTCTACGCAAATGACAGGGAGAGGGAAAAAAGATGAAAATATGACCAGAAATTGCTCAAAGCTGCATTACATAATGCAACACAAAGAGGGGAATCACGGAGCAGACACTGATACACATGTTTTAGACAAAGACTAAACAGGTTTTGGGCCAAATTCGGGAGTTTTGAACTATAACAGTGCTTGAAAATAACCTTAATTGTTCTTCCGCGCTGTGTTTATGATCAATCATGGGCAAACGTGTTCCATCAACATATTGTATTTTAATTCATTTGATTGGGGCTTAAACTCTGTTTTCCTCGTCGTATATCGTAAATCCCACTGACCTCTTGAATAGGAGAAGATTTACACACACTTTGAATGATTTGCACGGATGCTGTTTGACTGATGTTTCATTCAGATGATGTTGTTAACAATTACAATTATCAAGCTGCCAATAACAAAAAGGAAGCAAGCGTCCACAGAACTGTTTGGTTAAAAGGATAAGGAAAATTCTGATGAAAACTACGTCTTCCGATGTAGAGTTTTGGATTCCGCTGCATTTTCCGTCATTGGCCAGACCGTTGTTATCACTCATGAGGTGTGGGCTGGCGGGTGTTGGTGTGTCGCTGTGTTCGCTGTGTGTGTGTCGATTTGTGTGTGTGCTGCTGATTGGGTCGACGTCGAGATTTTCGCTCGTGCGAGACCAAGCTTACGCATGCCGGCTTTGTATACATTCAAAAGTAACTACTACATATTATGCGCTTGTGTGAGGGCTGGATCAAGTTTCAAGCGCACAATACGCGTATTCACGCGATTTTACTCGCACGACTACCTCCTGCGTGTGGATCAGCGGTGTTCATTCCCGGAGTACCAGGTTGCGCACCCAGGGCGTGTACGTGACGTGTATAAGATCACAGAGACTTTTTTTGAATTGATTAGCTATAATATAAAAAGAGTATTACAATCCCTCGATTGTAGCGATGTTTTTGCATATAATCTATCTTGTTTGAGTATGAAGTTGGTGTGAGGGTTGTGCTGTATCAATCTCTTCATTCATCACTATGTTTTCTACAGTGAAACATATCTCCATCCTAACAGGCAATCATGCAGAACCTTATCTTAAGTGAGCAAATGCTTTTGTCTGAAAAATTAGAGCTTTGGTTCTATATGGTTATCTGCTCGTGAAGACTGTACCCAGAATAAATGTAAACGGAATGGCATCCATACTCGCTACCAGTGTTTTAATAAATTGAGAATGTACATACTCCAATATGGGTGGGTCTCGTTCAAAATTGTATGTAGAAAGATAATTGCGTTGTGCTACTAGGAGTAGGTTTTTTCTCTTTCAGGAGATCAACCAGTATGCAGCATGCCTTGAATCAATCAGCGGTTACTAATGAACGCAGTATTAGTAAGTATTACTTATTGTGTGCGGAACCGTAGTCAGCTGCCTGCACACGGAGCTGCTCAAGGTTTAAGAAGATAAGAGTAACTTATTCTAGCATCCGATCATTTCATTGCTAGTGCTCGCGGTTTTCTTGGCTGTGTTAGCAAATATCAACTTGATTGTTTCATATTCA